CAAGAGTTATGGCGCTATATCTATACCATCTAAATCTTAAGGATTGATGGACAAGCGCGCGCTGTATCAGCGATGCGACCTGTTTTCTTACAGCACATGTGCTAGGCTGATTAAAAGCGGTCATGTGCTCATTTCGATGAGTCAAAAGTTTTTTCTTTCTGTAGCTACTGAGCAGCTCCTCTTTCTTTGCAAACGCCACTTTTTCCAATTTTTGACGCCGCTTCCACATCTATCGTGTTCACTTTCTTGGCACTTGGGTCAATATTGATGCTCTCTAGTGCAATCATCCCAAGCAACATCATCAACAGCATCTTCTTGCATTATGTGTATGCTACCTCATTCAATCTTTCTGCGAATACTGTACGTGTATAAGAGCATTACTATCAGCAAGGTGTATATCTCTCTTCTCAGCGTTCATATGGTGCTCAGGTTAGAGTGATGATCTATGATCTCCACGCATCAACCGATGTAATTTTGTATTACTTAATGCGTTAGGATCCAGTAAAGTAAACTTTAATTTGGGTTTGATTGTGTCCACAGCATTTCGTCTACTATACAATATGATGGCTTTACAACAAAACCTTCTTGTTTCTTTCAATCAATTGCAATTCCTTGCATACCTAGCATTTCTCATGAGAAAAAACGATGAGAATAGATATTTTGTATATAATATAGGCGGCGGTGAAACTAAGCCACAGTGAAGACAGAGGCTGGATAAAGTATATAGCTCTGAGTCATTCTTCTCTCTCGTACGCGATAACAACAAGTGTGCTAGGAACGTGTTATAGCATAAACTAAAATGCAGCTTTGCCATGCTGCTGTAATGTGAGTATTGCTTGTTTACATACGTGAGATGCTTCAGTGTGTAAGGTTATGCGCACAATATCGTGGGTGACGTTGTTTAAGGCTATCGTAACATTTCAACTGAATACAAAAAAGTAAGTAATGCTTTTCGCCGAGATACATAAGATGTCTAAGGAACGGTAACCAGAGCTGACTTTGCGAGCTTCTACAACTCGTCAGGATTGCTTTATGCTGACTGTCGCAAGATTTGCAGTCAACACAGATAGCATATATTGGACCCAATGACAGCTCGTCATCCGCTCTCACGCTGAATTTATGAGTCATGTAAATACGTCTGTTGTGGGTCTCGTTGAGAATGATCATTGCATGCATTGCTGACTCTTCATCGCTACTGTTATCTAAGTGGACTAATGCATTTTTTAAACGCTGCTGCAAAGTCGGTTGGCGTCTTACAAGAGCCTGGCTAAATCTTTTTGCTCAGCTTCAGCAATCTTGTGGACAAACTAATCAAAAGGATGATATTTACACGTACTACGAAGCAAGCTGTTTTACGATTGCGCAAAAGGGGAAGTAATATCATACAAAGAAGCAGTATGACGCAACACGAAGTATTAAGCGGTGCGTGCTTCATTTTGGCAAAGTGGTCGCTCATTGGAGCGGAATACTACTAATTAGAAATGAGAGACGTTGGTTACACGCAGGTTGAAACATGCAGATAACACTCATAAAAGCGCGTTTGGATGAACCAGCAAGAGTTATGGCGCTATATCTATACCATCTAAATCTTAAGGATTGATGGACAAGCGCGCGCTGTATCAGCGATGCGACCTGTTTTCTTACAGCACATGTGCTAGGCTGATTAAAAGCGGTCATGTGCTCATTTCGATGAGTCAAAAGTTTTTTCTTTCTGTAGCTACTGAGCAGCTCCTCTTTCTTTGCAAACGCCACCTTTTCCAATTTTTGACGCCGCTTCCACATCTATCGTGTTCACTTTCTTGGCACTTGGGTCAATATTGATGCTCTCTAGTGCAATCATCCCAAGCAACATCATCAACAGCATCTTCTTGCATTATGTGTATGCTACCTCATTCAATCTTTCTGCGAATACTGTACGTGTATAAGAGCATTACTATCAGCAAGGTGTATATCTCTCTTCTCAGCGTTCATATGGTGCTCAGGTTAGAGTGATGATCTATGATCTCCACGCATCAACCGATGTAATTTTGTATTACTTAATGCGTTAGGATCCAGTAAAGTAAACTTTAATTTGGGTTTGATTGTGTCCACAGCATTTCGTCTACTATACAATATGATGGCTTTACAACAAAACCTTCTTGTTTCTTTCAATCAATTGCAATTCCTTGCATACCTAGCATTTCTCATGAGAAAAAACGATGAGAATAGATATTTTGTATATAATATAGGCGGCGGTGAAACTAAGCCACAGTGAAGACAGAGGCTGGATAAAGTATATAGCTCTGAGTCATTCTTCTCTCTCGTACGCGATAACAACAAGTGTGCTAGGAACGTGTTATAGCATAAACTAAAATGCAGCTTTGCCATGCTGCTGTAATGTGAGTATTGCTTGTTTACATACGTGAGATGCTTCAGTGTGTAAGGTTATGCGCACAATATCGTGGGTGACGTTGTTTAAGGCTATCGTAACATTTCAACTGAATACAAAAAAGTAAGTAATGCTTTTCGCCGAGATACATAAGATGTCTAAGGAACGGTAACCAGAGCTGACTTTGCGAGCTTCTACAACTCGTCAGGATTGCTTTATGCTGACTGTCGCAAGATTTGCAGTCAACACAGATAGCATATATTGGACCCAATGACAGCTCGTCATCCGCTCTCACGCTGAATTTTATGAGTCATGTAAATACGTCTGTTGTGGGTCTCGTTGAGAATGATCATTGCATGCATTGCTGACTCTTCATCGCTACTGTTATCTAAGTGGACTAATGCATTTTTTAAACGCTGCTGCAAAGTCGGTTGGCGTCTTACAAGAGCCTGGCTAAATCTTTTTGCTCAGCTTCAGCAATCTTGTGGACAAACTAATCAAAAGGATGATATTTACACGTACTACGAAGCAAGCTGTTTTACGATTGCGCAAAAGGGGAAGTAATATCATACAAAGAAGCAGTATGACGCAACACGAAGTATTAAGCGGTGCGTGCTTCATTTTGGCAAAGTGGTCGCTCGTTGGAGCGAAATACTACCGTTTATACAATAAGCCTTTCGGCGTTTACAGATGTTTTAGCATCTAGTTTATCCAAAGTGTAACGGGGTTACACGAAAGTGTGTATTTAATAACACCTTCCACCCCAATTTGGGGGGGGTTTTTTTTTGGTAAAAAAGGGGGTTTGTAATTTTTTTAAAATAAGAAAGGGTTTTTTTTGGTGGAGGGGAATGTTGTTTATTTTTATTTTTTAAAAAAAAAGGATTTTTTTTTTTTTAAAAAAAAAAAAAAAAAAAAAAAAAGAAAAAAATATTATTTATAATAAAATAATATGTTTTTTTTTTTTTTTTTTTATAAAAAAAAAATAAAAATTAAATATTTTTTTAACTTTTTTTTTTTTTTTTTTTTTTTTTTTTTTTTTTTTTTTTTTTTTTTTTTTTTTTTTTTTTTTTTTTTTTTTTTTTTTTTTTTTTTTTTTTTTATTATTTTTAGTTTTTTGTTTTTGGGGTTGTTTTTTTTTTTTTTTTTTTTTTTTTGTTTTTTTTTTTTTTTTTTTTTTTTTTTTTTTTTTTTTCTTTTTTTTTTTTTTTTTTTTTCCCTCCTCCCCCCCCCCCATAGTGCATAAGTAGCGTAGCTACAGTAGCTCGACTACATAAAGCGTTAGCGTGCTTTCGTAAAAGTGAATTTGTGCTGGTATCCAAAGCAAATTTGATGATTGAATATTAATTGGGTTAGCGTAAATGCCTCTGAGCTGCTCGTCGTCGTGTCTTATCCCGTCTTTCTTGGTGGTTTGTAACACCCTTTGGGTAGTCACGTGCCTATCGAAATCCTTGTGACACTGTTGACGATCCTTATGCAAAATGGTAAGCTGTTGTGTATACGGACGTTTGTGCTGGACGAGGGGTAAAGCTGTGTTGAGCCCTAAGCAGGTGGTTGTGATGTTCAGCCGCACTTCATTTCTGCAGCAGTGGAATTCACACCCACTCTCACCTGACTGACGATCCTCGTAGACCGAACGACTGAGCTAATCGATTTGTTGGCTCAGCCAAAGCACTTCACTATCAAATCCAAACATGCACAATACAAAAACACACACCAGCAACATCTAATGACATAGTTAGCTATGTCACATATGGTAGATAGAAGATGATTGCAGGCATATAGAAGATGAATGTAGGGTTGTGTGTCAAATGCTGCGTGGTCTACTCGAAGTAAACATATGTGTAGCTTTGTTCGTTCAAGATGCGAAAAGCATGTATCAATTGCTGATTTCTAGCTGCAAAGCACCGTTTAATTTGGAGTATATCTGCTCTAGTAGCATTACTGCTTTCGTGATGACTTGCGACCTATGATGAGCCGCTAGAGCTGCGTATTGTAGTAAAATCTCGATGATATCCCTGACTCATTCCTCTTTCATCCCACTTCACATGAAAGTGTAATAGTGTACCAACAGCAGGAGCTGTAACTATTGCCGACAGATTAAAACCCAATCAAGCAATGGGTGTTGCGCAAAGGAATCCAGCTCAACGATACTACTGGTGAAATGATAAATTCAGTGTGCCCAGCAAGACTTGACTATTTTCCGCTCATTTGAGCTACACAGTGTGACTTGACAGGATGGGCAGTAAAAGTTTGACACGAGTGGGATTCGAACCCACGCCCGAAGACTGGTGCCTAAAACCAGCGCTTAGACCGCTCGGCCATCGTATCCTGACGGGATCTCAAATTTGATATAATTATATAACTCTAATTGGGTAGCTAAACTTTGGTCCATTATATAATTGATTTACATATTATACCAAGCCGCACCCCGTGAAGGCTCCTCGACCCATGAGCATACTGAGTCTACTAGTTCGGATCCGTCGATTTATCTACAGAATTTGAAGATGGTTGTGCGTCTGTTGGCCCCCCCTCTTCACACCAGCCAGTTGCTCCACAAGACGCTGTGGAGGAGTGCAGCCTGACAGCATTTCACCTCAACACACGACGACCACAATGGTGCTGACCAGTCCCAATGGACCGCAGTCGACTTCCAGCACGTCCGCATGCCGAAGCTCCCGTGCCCTGCTTCAACGCTCGAAATCGCTACGTCGCGACACCGTTGATGCTCCCACTTCCACCACGCGTCAAGATGCCCCGTACTAAAGCGATGGACAACGAGGCCATCAATGCTCTGTCTGAAGCCGGCGGAAACTGGAGTCAGCTTGCCGCCTCGATTGACCGCGCTCGATCCTATACGCTGCCTCGCGCGCACTGATGGTCATCAAGACTGACCAAACTTTCCAGCGCATCGCGATTGGCAATATTCTTACCTTGCTCAAGGACTATGAAAAACCTCGTCGTCCAACAGTAGATCTAACTAAAGCAAATTGTTCAGGTGACCAACGCACCTGGCGGCATATACTGTCAAGGAGAAGACGAAGGCGGCCTGCCAGAGCATTGCCGGCGAGGTAGTTAAAATCCTTAGCGACATGTACCGACTCGCTGAGTTTGATATCCTTGCCGAGCGCTTCTTCCTGAATGTGTCCAGCGTCGATAGCTTTGATGCTGACCTCATGCTGAAACGCTTCTTTGAGCTTGGTGTGCAGCCAATCTCTGGCAAGTTACGCAATATCAAGACGGCTGCAGTGATCACTACTGCCATCTGACGTGTGTTTTTCTGCTCTACTTAATTCCCTACAGATCTCGTGATGGGCTGCGTTGTCTGTCACCAGATTCTATTTTGTGGATGTGTATACCCGTTGATCGCTAAGAACGTTTTGCTTCCGACCTACCGTCTGTCTTCGGTTGACTATCTACCCAGGCGTTTAACCTAGCGGTATTGTGGTGGAGAGGTGATCACAAAAAATGTCGGTGGCACCGACCTTCCACTGGCGCCCGAACTGTCGACTGACGGAGGGGGTACTCCAATACCGTATGCTTGTCCTTCTTCACCTTGTGCACCCTTCGACTGGTCGGGCTGCACTCTCCTCGGTGGACTTGCCCCGATCTTGATCGTGATGGGGTCTGGATCGAAGGTGGTTTGTCGCGTGAAAATTCCTCACGCGATCACAGTAAACACTGGCACTAAAAGCTGCCTTGATTCACTCTAGATCTTCTCTTTTCCCTTCCTTTTGTACCCTCTTGAGCGGTATAGTGGATCTTCTGATCGCTTAAGCCGTCTCGTAGAGATCCCTTGCTTGAACGCTGCGTCCGATCGCAGCTGACTTGACGTGAGTATACTTGAACCCCTGGCCAATGTCTTCCAGGGGTGATCTGCTGTACGTACGTGAGCTCTCTTTATTCA